GGTGGCGCTCCCCGCCGAGGGTTCGGATCCCACATACAGACCGGCCGCTCACTGGCTGAGCGAGGTGCGGGCGCAACACTGAGGGTTACGATCCCGTTGCCGCTCCCGGTCCAGTACGGGCGCGACACTGAGGGTTGCGATCCATTGCCGGTCACGAAAAAAGACAAAAAAAAAAAAAAGATGACTGGTGAGGGGATCTTAACCCTTGACTTGGTGTTGTCAGCACCACGCTCTCCCAAGTGAGCTAACTGGCCAACCCTGTATAGGGATCTGAACCAGTGGCCTTGGTGTTATCAGAATCACACTCTCCCAAGTGAGCCACAGGCCGGCCCTCATGTTTAACTTTTAAAATCTGTGAAACAGTTCTTTAGAACTGTACCATTTTACATTTTAACCATTGCAGTGGGTTTACAGTACTGTCTTGTGAGTTTTTTGGGGGATACTAGTCTGTTCTATTCTTCAAAAACTTTATTACTAAATAACTAAAGTAAAAATCCATCCATTTTAGAATATAGTTCAATGAGTTTTGACAAATGCACATACCCAAGTGACTACCACCACAGTCAATATATAGAACATGTCTTCACCCCAGAAAGGTTCCTTCATGCCACTTACCAGTTAATACATCCACCATTTTTCCTCCTCTAATAGACATGATTTTTTCGGTCCCCGTTACTCCTATATGAGTCCATCTCCCAAGTACCTCTGTCTGTTTCTCAGCCTCAGAGTCTAGCTTCGATGGCTATCTTGACCAGATAAGTGGGAAGAGTTTTGATACTCCCGTATTCTCAATGCCCATCTTTTCTTCTTTTTCAGACACTTTAGCACAGATGGTGACCATGTTTAGATATTAGCAATCGCATGTGTGTGTGTTTGCATTTGAAAATGGCAGAGGGAAACAACAGTGAAGAGGTAATTCATTTGAACAACTTTCACTGCCACCGGGGACAAGGTAAGTTGTCATTTTCTCCCTTTCCTCTTTACTTTTTCCTTTAGTATTAACAGCCGTATCTTCTTTGAAATGAACCTGTTTTGCACCATTTAGAATCTAGAGACATTTCATTTTTAGACCTCAGAACATCAGGCATAAAAGGACTTGTCAGATTAGAATTGTGTCAAATGATGGTACCTGCTGGCATGAATAAAGTTTGACTCATCTATCACAAGTAGATCAATAAGCTGTTAATTAGCTAGCAAAGAAGCTATGAATGTGCAGTCATTGTGTCTTATGAGATGGGATTATGGGAACAGTGTCAGTTCTGTTTTTGAAGGAATGGTGACTGCAAAGGAGCGCACTCCTCTAGACCTATATGAGCTAAAATACTACAGGTTGAGTCCCTAATTCAAAAGTCCAAAATTCGAAATGCTTCAAAATCCAAAAATTTTGGAATGCCAACAGACGCTCAAAGGAAATGCTCATTGGAGTATTTTGAATTTTGGATTTTCAGATTAGGGATGCTCAAGCAGTATGTATTCTGCAAATATGGATTCCAGAATCCCGAAAACTCTGAAATCCAAAGCACTTCTGGTCCCGAGCATTTTGGATCAGGGATATCCTACATGTATAGGTGCTGCTAAAGCATTCTTGTCCTTGTACAGTGCTAAGTTTCTTTTTTTGCCAGAAGATTCTGGCTTAGCCTCATGTGGAATTTTAGAACATGTTTTTTTTTGTTTTACAGTGTTTAGATTTTGGGGAAATTCAATGATTCATAAAGGGAAAGAGTGCTTATATTTCTATAACATTCCTAAATGAATATGAAATTTCCTGTCAAATTCTAATTCACTGTGAGGCAGGACCCATTAGAAATGACTGACTACTTTTACCTGGATTCCTTCTGTTACTAATAATTTTAGAACAAATTTCTCCTTCCAAAATTGATCAATGTTAGAGTTATTTATATTTTTCTATGGTTGAACTAAAAATATCATTTACTGTTTAAATTGGGTATTAGTTTAAATTTTGATGTAAGGTTATTACTTACCTGTACACCAGTCAGCCTTAGCTAGAGGTGAACAAAGCAGTTTTCACGTAAATCAGCTCTAAAAAACTGTTTTCAAGGCTCCCCTCCACCCCACAAAAAATCCCAACTAACATTTACACTTGGGCTAAAAGGAAAACATTCATGCTGATGAGTAAGAAAAGAATCCTTAATGTATTCATTATTTTGCAAGTGCAAATTCCATGGAAGAGGTTGTACTGGTTTTGTTTTCTCCCGTTAATAATATTTTGTGTTTATGAAGATGATTTTTTTACAGCAGAGACTTAATTATATATATTTGGCTTTCAGAACATTTAAAATTGAGCAGACTTTATTAAGCAAATGAATCTTGAAAAATAAAATTGCTGGGCCGGCCTGTGGCTCACTCGGGAGAGTGTGGTGCTGATAACACCAAGGCCGCGGGTTCGGATCCCATATAGGGATGGCCGGTTAGCTCACTGGGGGAGTGTGGTGCTGACAACACCAAGTCAAGGGTTAAGATCCCCTTACCAGTCATCTTTTAAAAAAAAAAGAAAAGAAAAGAAAAAGAAAATTGCCCAAGCCATGCAAATTATTAGTACAAAAGAAATATTGATTTTTAGGATTTTATTAGTAGGGTATTCTAAAGTGGTATTGAGTGTAGCCATAATTTATTGTGATTCAGAAAGTTTTAAATCTTAGTTATAACTTGTACATATGATCATTTCCAAACTTTCTGTACCTGTATCTCAAATTAATGTGATAGTGGTGGTTTTTTAATTGGGTCTTAAATGTACTTGAACAGAGTTTCTTTAAGAACTAATTCCTTTTGGAAAATTATTGATTTTGGAGGCATTTTTTCTGTTAGACAAGTATGTATACTTTGCACCCATCATAAGGATTTTTTACAGGCATGTAGTGTTGTTTTGTTTTCATTAGCTGCATTAATAATTTTTATTATGCCATCCTCTGTAGTTTTTTTTTAAAGTGTATATCAGTGGGTTTTGACAAATGAATACACAACCTCAATCATGATTTAGAATATTTCCGGGCCGGCCCAGTGGCGCACTCGGTAGAGTGCGGCGGCGCTCCAGCCTACGGTTCGGATCCCATATAGAGACCGGTCCGCTCACTGGTTGAGCATGGTGCAGGCACGACACCGAGGGTTGCGATCCCGTTGCCGGTCGCGGTGCGGGTGCGACACCAAGGGTTGCGATTCCGTTACCGGTCATGAAAAAAGACAAAAAGGAAAAAAAAAAAAGAATATTTCCATCACCCTAAAGATTCTCTTGTGCCTCTTTACAGTCAGTCTTCACCCCACTCCAGGCCTAAGGAAACCACTGATCTGCTTTTTGTCACTATACAATTTCATCTACATGGAACCATATAGTGTATACTATTTGTATTAGAATTCTTTTGTTCAATGTAATTTTTTTGAGATTCATCCATATTGTTGCACGTATCAGCAATTCATTCCTTTGGAGTTGCTAAATAGTCTTATACCTACTCATTTAGAATTCCATACCCAGTGGAAATAGGCTTAAAAATGAAGATAAAATAAAGAAATCTTGAAAATACAAATGAAAAAAATACGTAATGCAAAAAAACAAAAAAAAGGAGCTGGTATGTCTATATATATCAGATAAAGTAGAAACTCCAACCAGAAGTATTAATATAGAGACCATAATGATAAAAGGATGAGTGCACTGGAAAGATAAAACTGTTCTAATTCCTGTACACTTAGTAAAATGATATAAAAATATACAATGCCAAAATTGATAAAACTGAAAGAAGGATTGGACAATTCGACAGTCATAATGGAAAATTTTAGCACATTTCTTCAATAACTAAGAGAGTAAGCACACACAAACATTTGTATGAATGTAGAACATGTTCAACAAACTTGACATGATAGACATATATGGAATACTGCACCCAATGTATTTACTAAAATTGACCGTATTTTGAGCCACAAAACAAGTTTTAAGTTTCAGAGGATTGAAATCATACAAATTATGTTCTCTACCCTCACTGGAATTGAGCCATAAAGCAGTTAAGGAAATATAATTAGAAAATAGATATATGTGTGAAAAATAGTCATATACTTCAGAACAACCTATGGTTCAAACAAGAAAACACAATCTAAATTAGAAAATATTTTGAATTGCATGATAATAAAAACACAACCTATTGAAGCTTATAACATGCACCTAATGCCATGTTTTAAAGACGACGTAGGCCTAAAGGTGTGTATGTTAAATAAGAAGTAAAGCTGGGAAATTAATAATCTAAACCAGGGCTCAGCAAACTTAAATAGCCAAATAGTCAACATTTTAGCCTTGTGGCCCGTGCAGTCTCTGTCGCAACCATTCAGTTATACCATTGTAGTATGAGAGAAGCTATAGATAAAATACAAATGAAAGAGCATAATGGTGTTCCAGTAAGGGCATGAAGTAACAGATACTGTCCTACACTGCTGGTGGGAATATAAATTGGAAATAAATACAAACAATTTGGAAATTTGTTTAGCATTATCTATTAAAACTGAACATATGCTTACCCTATGGCTCAGCAATTCCACTACTAGAATGTACACAACTGAAATGAGTACACCAAACACATGTACAAAAATGCTCATAGGGCCGGCCCGTGGCTCACTCGGTAGAGTGCGGTGCTAATAACACCAAGGCCCCGGGTTCGGATCCCACATAGGGATGGCCGGTTCGCTCACTGGCTGAGCGTGGTGCTGACAAAAATGCTCATAATAGCATTATCCAAAATAGCCCAAATGGCACCAACCCAAATGTCTATCAACAGAAGAATGAGTAATTTATGATATATCCATATAGTGAATTATATACAGCAAAGATCACATATAACAACATGCAACATGGATGCATCTCAAACATGTTATGAGGGTACTTTAAAAAGTTTGTGGAAAAATAGAATTAAAAGATAGTACGAATCTTTCCATGAACTTTTCGAAGACCCCTCGTATTTGCAAGAAAGCCAGACACAGAAGAGTGTATACCGAAAAACAAGCAAAACTGATTGGTGGAGTTAGAAATCCTCCCTTTGGGGAGAACAGAGAGTGTAGTGATTGGGAAAGGTACAGGGAGGCTACTAAGGTACTAGAAATATTTCCTGACCTTGTGATGGTTATACACATATGGGCCTTTTGTATTAATTCATGGAGCTATATATATGCTTGATTGGTAGACCTTGCTCTGTTACACTTGAGTATTTTAAGTATATTTTTAATAGCTAATTGGAAACTTAAATGTTTATGTATGTGTGGTGTGTTTGGGGGGTATCTTGTATTATCCATTGGACTTCACTGTAATGTGATAGATTTCAAACCAACTTTTTCTCTGGATCCCTTAAGGTCATGTGTCATTTTCTTGGGCCAATTCTTCCAGAGAGAAATCTACAATTTCCTGCCTATGGAATCTAAGATTGTATACAAGCATTCAGGAAACCTACATAGCAGAAGGCAGCTGGGGTCTTATCATTCATTATGCTGTTTTCAGTGGCTCCTCTTTCCTTTCTTGACCCCTGTGCCTGGTGTACCAGAGGCTAGAACTTCTCTTTCTCATTATCTCCTTAGAGTGAACCTCCATGGGGTGGGTCTTCTGGAATGCCTGAGTGAGGAGATCAGCAAATCATCCCCCAAAATCAATAATAAAATTAGACAAAATTGTCAAAGCCATCATTCAGACTGGAAATTGACCAAAGGCTTACAATTATTGAGAACACTTATTCAAGAAAATACTGAATCTGGGTAAGAACAGTGAAAGTTTGTGGTGTTTTAGTCTGGGGCTGCTCCCATTCCCTTACCATTCCCCAGTTCCATCTGTTTCATATGGTAGGGAAGTCTATCTGAGCAGTGGGGCAGGCTGGGAAGATTAGTAGTGAAAGAGGCTGATGATTTGGAGCAGAGTGGGAGTCCCGTGCCCAAAGGCATCATCAAAAACAATTGAAATCCTAGAGGCAA